AGACGGCCGAATCGATTTACACTTACTTGTGGTGAGTTGCTGTGCCTATCTCGCCTCGAGAGAGTGACTATGAGACTTTCTGCGTAGAGCTAACGGCGTAGTGGGAACAGGCCCGAGATGATGCACTTGCAACCCCTAAAGACAATAGTGTACCAATTGAGATGTACATTCGCGAAGATGCACCTCCACCTACTTTAGGCGATGATGTGCAACTTTCGAAGAAATCTAGAGTTCATGGAGGCTGGATTAGTGACGATGATGGCAAGGACAAGTAGTGGTGTGGATTCTAAGTATATTTTATTATGTTTAGATCTGATTAATGTCGAGAAGGATTTCTGTCGTTTCTCAGTTGTTTAAGTGTCAGATGCTCTTTTGTCATGTTGTATGCCTCTTGAAGGATTGAGATAATAGAAGATGTTATATTATTTTTCTTTCATTGTGAGCCCTCATGGATATGTTATCGCTTTAGGATGTCGTGTTATTACAATGGATTACAAACTTGCTTTTATTTATCCAAAAGGAAATGGTACCAACACCGCAAGCGAGACCTATCAAGGAACTACAACAAACAGTGGATAAGATAAGACGAGTTTTGGTAGCTCAAGTTGTACAACAAGCATCGTAGGTACCATAGGCCCATCAGGTGCCACGAGCGCCATGGACACAACAAGCACCACCGGCTGCTTAGGGAAACCATGCTGCATCAGTTATCTAGGTGATCGAGCAGTTTCGCAGATATAGTCCTGCTACTTTTGATGGTGGGAAGGACCCTTTAGCAGCCGAAGAATGGTTGCNCATTCACCGCCAGCTCCTCAAGGGAACCAGGTTGCATCGGTTATCCCTGTGATCGAGCAGTTTCGCAGATATCATCCTCCTACATTTGATGGTGGAAAGGACCCTTCAGCAGCCGAAGAATGGTTGCGTACTATTGAGAAGATTTTTGGACACATCTCTTGTCTGAAAAATTAGAAGGTGTTATGTGTTGAATTCATGCTAGTTGGAGGGGTAGGCAACTGGTGGGAGTTCGCATCTCGCACTCGTACAAAAGAAGAACAGCGAGACCTGACTTGGGGCACAAATTAAGACTGATCTGACGAAAAAGTATTTTCCTCAAGCTATGTAAGATCATAAGGAAACATAATTCCTACAGTTGGTACAAGGGAACATGGATATCATCGACTACGAATGGAAGTTTGAGGAGTTGTCACGTTATGCCCCACACT